GCCCCACTCGAACCGGAACACCCGGCCGAGCGGCTGCGAGCGGCCCGCCGGCCTCAGCTTGTCCCCCACCAGCACGACGGCTTTGGGTCAGATGCTTCTCTGGTCTCTTCTCTGTCGAAAGCAGCTCCTTAGCGAACTCGTTTCATTTTCCCAGTCCTTGGGAGCAAAGCAGTCAATGACGCCGGCCTTGCTCACCAGCCACTCCTAGCTAGTCGATTGTCAGTAATCGAACAGCCTTACTGAACCTTTCCTGAACCTGGGCAGCCACAAGCGATCAGGAAGACACTTGTCAAAGGTATAACTGTCATCTGTATCGCACTGATGGATGGGAGAAAAAGAAACCCTTCTTTTAAAAACATTCTCATTTACTTCCTATGGGTGAAGGCACTTCCCACATTTACGGCCGTAGCAGAAGTCCTTAGTCTCTGGTGTAGGCTTGTCAACAAATTCATCCTGTGTCTGCTGAAATTTTCTGACTCCCGAATCTACCAGAAGTTCCCAAGGTAGTACTAATAGTAGCCAGATATTTTATTTATTTGTTTCTTTTGTCAGTCATGGGGCTTGAACTCAGGGCCTGGGCACTGTCCCTGAGCTCTTTTGCTCAAGGCTAGTGCTTTACCACTTTGTGCCACTCTAGTTATCTGATGGTTAATGAGATAAAAGTCTCACGGACCTTCCTGCCCCAGCTGGCTCTGAACTGCAATCCTCAGATCTTTCCTGAGTAGCTAGGATTACAGGTGTGAGCTGACCGACAGCAACCAGCTAGATTTTTTTTTTTTCAAAATCAAACTGAAGAGGAAGTAACCTGATTTCATTGAGGAAAAAGTAATGATCATTGTTGGAGATTCTTGAGCTGCCTGGTGACAGGAAGTGAGAGCCTCTTCCCACCCGGACTGTGCAGCACCTGGGGAAGAACATCCTTAAAACTTTAGGCGCTCATGGAGTTCAGACTTTTCTCTAGAGATCACAAATAGAAGAAACCTCCGCAAAACCAGGGTATTGGTTTAAAAACCATAAGCATTATCCAGCTGAGGTAACAGATGTCAGAAAGCAACCAAGACTCTTTTCACATGTCACAAACTTGGCAGTCTCACCCTAACTTGGTATTAGAGAATGGAGAGGCAGCTAGGCCGTCCAGCGCTCCGCTGTGCACCAGCCTGTGGTCTGGAATGGTTCCCTTTCTCGCCTAGACTTCCTGTTGACAGCAGCAGCAGCATCTGCTTGCCCCAAATGGGAGCGGGAGGGAGGAAGAGAGCTAACCAAAACCTGGTTGGCTTTCTGGTTTAATGTTGTTAGATGCGTGGTTAAGTTCTAAAATTTAACTCACCTGAGATTTCTGAGATGTTTATTTATGCTTAACAGGAAACCTATGAAGGGGGGATGGTACAGTACGCGAGATACGTGCATCAAACCCCACATGGCAAAACAGAACAGTGAATTAGTGAAATTTTCCAAATCCATAAGTGGCCTGTAGAATTTTTAATTACCATAACTTAAACTTAATTTATTCCTAGATCCTTGAGTCTGATCCCTCCTTTATCGGTGCCACAGTGCCTTTGAAGGAAGTTCATTTTTACTGTATGTCCTTCAGCAATGTCTATAGCCTGTTTGAAGATCTCTGGTCCCAATTGCTTTAGCCTTAAGTAACCAATCTCTTTTTCCAGTTCTAAACATTTTTAAAGAAAACATAATTATTAATTAAAGATAAAGCTTTCAAGATAAAAACCATTTGGGTCAGGGTGAGGCTCAAGTGGCTGAGTGTCTGCTTAGCAGGTGTGAGGCCCCGAGTTCAAACTCTAGTACTACAGAAAAGAAGAAAAAGACCCAGTGTGGCTTCAACCTTCCAGAAAGGCTGGGAAACGAAAAGCCCAAATGTATCACCTACCAAGAAAATATTTCCCAGCTCCCTGAATCTGCCTGCCTTCGCTGGAGCCTGGGCCTTTATGGCTTTTGGTAGTGGTTTCTCTGTCTGCAGGTCTCACAACCAGTGTGAACTAACATTGGAGTTTGGACTGCAGGTGGGAAGAGAGGGCTGGAGCAGCAGAGGAAGGTCCACTGGTCACTGAGTCCCCACAGTGGAGACAGCAGCACCCCCTCCCCCTCCAGGACAACTCAGCTACCCACAGCCCTGGAGACGAGACTCAGTCAACCCCCTGAGCCGGATTTCGGGGGGGCAGGTGGCTGAACCTTCATTCATGGCCATCTAACCTCCATGTTGGGATTAATCTAGTCTTGTTTTTTGAGATAGAGAGGATCTTGCATTGTAAGCCCTAACTAGCCTCCAACTCTTTTTTTTTTTTTTTTTGGGTCCAGTCATGGGGCTTGAACTCTGGGCCTGGGCGCTGTCCCTCAGTTCTTCAGCTCAAGGCTAGCGCTCTACCACTTGAGCCACAGTGCCACTTGCGGTTTTTTCTTTTTGCTTATGTGGTGCTGAGGAATCGAACCCAGGGCCTCAGGCATGCAAGGCAAGCGCTCTACCACTGAGCCACCTTCCCAGCCCCTAGCCTCCAACTCTTATCCTCTTGCCTGACTCCCAAGTGAGTGCTGGAATTAGACTGGGCTTAATCTGTAGTAAAGATGAGTCTAAGAAGATCAGTTCTCAAGAGTTTCCCATCTACTACGTTGTGTCCAACCTCTGCTATTTATAACAGTGACCCTGGTTAAATATGTGCATTGGGCATGTAGGGCTAAACCTGGCTGCTACAGCCAGAAATTACCCAGGTAACCACATTCCTTAGGGTGTACTTGGAGCCAAGAGCCTGAGAAGCCGGCACTTCAGCTGGGCTGGAATGACCTTGAACAAGTCTTCAACCGGGGCTGGAATGACCTTGAACAAGTCATTAAACCTCAGCACCTCCATTTACTTACCAAAGCGAGGGAGGCAGCAGTTCTGTCCTTCAGCTCACAGAGAGGAGAGAGGGGCCTGGTGTTCAGGCAGCTCTGTGCAACCCCCACCTCCCGGAATTTGTGCCTGCGTGCTTCAAGTTTGACCTTTTGCTGGTCACAGTAGTGTACTCTGTGAGCACTCCTGAAACTGGGGTGCACGGACTGCGTAAGGGCTGCCATGCAACAGGCGAGGGTGCACGCGGAAGGACTCTGTTAATATCCATCTGATTGGGCTAAATGTGAGGTTTTAAAAGCCATTCGCAGTAGGGAGTGTGGCTTCACAGCAAACGGGACACTTGTGCATGGAAAGCAGATCGCTGCCAGCTGAGCTCTGCTGACGGCTGTAATGCCAATCAGTGTTTGGGCTGGGGGTGGTTGGTGCGAGCTTGCTTAGCAGGCACAGGCTCTGGGCTCCGGCCCAGCACCCATGAGGAAGAGACAGGCAGACAGAGGCCCTGGGTACCTTCCCCGCACCACAGAGAGCAGACAGGCAGACATCCTGCCAGAATTTATGCTTAGCACTAGGTTTGAATTTCTGAAGTTTTCTTTACTCTTTTTGTTCCAAACACTGTGTTTATTCTCAGAAGACATAAACTGTTCTTTCTGAACTGTGCTTTCTTGCAGCCCTGACTTGGTCCTGAGAATTAGGGGTAAGCTTAGAGGAGGGTGCAAACCCATGGATAATCCAGAAAATGGGGTTTGAGGTAGACAGAAGGAGAACCATGGAGTTGTCAGCTCTCTGCAGGAGAGGGGCAGGAGCAGAGGTGGCAGGGTGGTCACCTGTGGTCTTGCCCCTGTGGGGAGGGAGCTGCTGAGGATCGCAGTCGGTCCTGGTCTCCTCTCAGGGTAATTGAAGGACCACAGGTGGCCACACTTAGAAACGAGTTGTTTCTTTAATGAACTGGAAGCCAGCCAGTTATTACATTCCTGGGTTGGACATTTCAAATAATTGTTTCTTGAAATTTTTATGCCTTGGTTTTGTATTATCTACCCAAACTTCTTTTTCTCTCTTGAAGAGAATTCCATGGAACGCTTTTGTGTTTGCTGTGAGTTGAGTAATGTAATAATAGAGAAGGAAAGATGGGCGTGCAAACTGTGTGTTTTCCATGGCGATGGAATTTGGGTGCTTTACATTCATTAAACTTCCATCTGAATTTATCTAGTTTATGTATACCTACTTGCTCTAGAAAGGAGTTAAGACAGCTAAGAGATGAATAGATCGAATAGCGTGCACTTTAACAGGGGGGTATACATTTCAGAAAGATCACTGGGATTCCATGCCTTACTTCTGCTCCTGCGCACACGGCCCCTACTCCCTGGGGAAGCTTGGAGCATAGCCATGGATGGGGGGGGGGCTGTCGAGTCGTGGGTAGCTCTGCTATGGAGAAAACAACTGGGCACTCCGCCTCACCAGTGCACAGTCTACCCTCCCTGGCCTGCGGGAGCCAGAGAAGCCCTCTGCAGAGAAACACAGTAGCCTCTGCCTGAGCCTGGGCCGCCAGGGAGGGGGAAGGCCACACTCCCAGCGTGAAGACAGGATCGCAACAATCTATTTTGATGGGACTCAGAAGTTGAAAGGGAACTCCAGAGCCTTTTTATTTACCGTCATGTGTCCTGGGCACTGAGTGCACACATGTAGACCAACTGGGGAAGATTCTCGAAAACAAAGCTGTAAGTAATAGGGAAACAGGTCCTGAGTCACTGGCGTGACCCCGGAAGGAATCTGAAGTCTTGCTCCGTCTGAGGTGTGTGCTGGAGGACGGGGGTCACAAAGGTCATGTGTGCGTGCGCTACCTTGCATTCTGTGGTCACAGATTGTGTCATCCTGTCCTCAGAGTTAATATCCCCATCTTGAGGGTGTTGCATTGGGTGAGGGTTTAACTTTTTTCCCTCAACTCTAGGTTAAGTAGAACTCAAGGTCAACTAGAACTTGCTTAAAGTGTCAAAGGTTATTCCTAGTTGTAGAAACTTGTCATCTCTGTTCAGTTTTTGGACTCATTGCTGATTCAGTTTTCATTGTTTCTTTCTTGAGCTCTTGCCTTTTCCAATTGAAGGTAAAATGGCTGTAGGAACAGACTCCCAAATCGTGTAGATGTAGTGTGTCCACCTGGCCCTGGCCTCTCAGGGTGTGTGAGCAATCATGATCGCACCCGAACCACAGAGCGTTTGTTAGTGAAAGCTAGAAATGGCTGGAGAACCTCAGGAGAGCCCTGGGGAACCAGGAGCTCTGGTGAGCTGCCCCCCCTGGAGTCAGGGCTGCACCTGATGAACCTCCCTGAACTATTCATCTCACCACAAAACCCAGGCCGTTTCACAACGCAGCAGTCAATGAGAACATGGGTTAGAAGTGCTTAACAGAGGAATGGGCACCTTGTCACTGTAAATACCTGTGTGTGCTTATTGGTCTTT